GTGCACCTCGGTGCACCCACCACTTCCAGTATAGAGGTGGGGTGGGTGCGTTGGCCAGGAGTGAGGGGCACCGCTGGCCTGGGTGCAGGGGCTGCAGGTCAGGAGTGAGGGGCACTAGCAGCACCGGGGGCAGAGGTGATACAAGGTAGAGCTGTAGCCGGACAGGGCTGTTATTTAAAATGATGTTCCCGTTATTTTGTTCTGCATATAATTTTGGTGCCCCCCCCAAATTTTGGCGCCGTAGGCAACTGCCTAATTCACCTAATGGTTGGACTGGCCCTGCCAGCACGTCTTGTCTGTCTTTAGCACTAAGCAGAGATCAGAAATATCCTAACCTTGCTTGTGCATGGACTACATACCTCCTCATTACTTGAACTTTTAATCTTACAGCACACAGATCTCTATCAGCACAAAACTTGATCAGCATGAAGAAACACTGAACAGGCCAGCTCTCCTCCCTTCCTCCACAGCTCAATTTGTAATTGTGCTTCCCACAGCAAGTTTACTTGTTGCAGAATATTTAGTGTTTAATCACCTTGATTTAGACCTATAACCTAACTTCCAGCAGTAATAGTAATGGAGGTAGATTCACCAAAAGCTTGTTTAGAGGGGAAACAAAAAAATAATCCCTATATTGGACATCTAAACAGAGCAATGGTCTATCAACGGCTGTTGGTGAAGTCTGATCCATATTGTTTCAAGCCAATAGCTTGTTAAATCCCTGCTAAATAAAACATGGCTAGACTTCACAATTCACAGTGGCTGTCCTGAAACATGATATTTAAAGATGCGCTTTGACACAGGAAGCTGTGCCAAGAACTACACTCCCATTAAAAAAATACACTGCATGTTCAAGTATTGGGACCACCACAGTACAGATTCACAAGACTTTTCTCTCACACAAGCACACAGTATTTCTTCTTGTACTAGAGGTAATTGCTAGACCCTATCAGAACTGAGATTTCTGTATTGTCCCATCTCTATTTCCAAAGTAGGTCTAAGAACCCTCCAAAAGCAGATACACTTGCACAAATCAACCAGCCAAACAGCACCTTCCTTATCTGCTAGAGATGCCTCGTGAGCTTCAAAGCTTAACCAGTATCTGTTAAAGTGCTTGATGGCAAAGTGCAAGACATTAGCACATGCACCAGTCTGAAAAGTCTCATTCCAACCCCTGAGAATTACAATTCCTTGCAGGAGTAAAAATGACTTAATAAGGGGGGGTTACTTTACAAAAAAATCCCCATAAAGTAGTAATAAAACCAGTCTGGAAAATCGAGCATCTCCTTCTTCCAGGCCAGCCAGAGTGTATTTAAAACAAACTAAGAAGAGTTAACTTGTTTGTGATCTTTATTTTTCCAACAGTACATTTAAACAACTTCTCAGGACTAACCTCCTCAGCCAATTTTGCCATGCAGGGAGGAAAAAAAAAAATAGAGTCATTTCCTAAATTGTACAGTTAACCTAGGACAACACACAGAACGGGTCACAATCGCCGTGTCGTGAAGGGAGAGGAATGGCGAGAGGAGCAATTTTAGTCAGCCAGCAGCACCTGGAGCAATGCAACAATATTGTGTGCGCGAAGCTCAGTAAAGGAATTGCTCAGTGGCACTCCCCTCTGGCAGGAGCATTACAAAAATTGTTCACAGAACAGTGTGGAGCCATTTAATTTGTTCAGCATTACACTCCCTGTTAAACATCTGAACTGAAGCCCCACCCCGTGGCCAACTACTATCATTGCAAGGCAGGCCACATCTTTTTTTCCTCCAAGTTAAAATGCAGTTAACAACTAGATGCAAAGTATAGGTTAGGGAGTGGGGAAGAGGGGAAAAAATGCTCAGCATTAACAAGTGTAAACTGATCTGATCCACCTCTTCTGTCTCATCTCCGGCTAAAAACAGACTTGCCCCTTCTCTAGAAAAAAGCCTTTTGTAATGGGATCCTAGTCCCTCACACCCATTGTCCCACTTCAAGTACCGGTGAAGTACCAAGATAAGATGTGCTAATGCTGTTTCCCAGGACAATCGCAGCCCATTCATTCCAAGGACAAGCTAAAGGGATGTGCCAGTCAGGTCAGAACTACCTCAAACACAATGTCTGTTTTTAGCCTTGCAGTAAATGACTGATCCATGGTAAATTAAATGCCCTTTCATTCAGGGTAAACTGCCCCAGTTCAACTTTAGCCTAGTGCAGGATGAACAGAAAGCTAGAGCAGTCAGACTGAATCACAGTCAAGTCCCTGCTTCCTCCTCAGAACACTTATTGCTCACCTATCCACACCCTTATTTGAGAGTGTGCATGTATCTAATATTTTGCGAGCACCTTGAGGACATGCAAGACCTGAAGATGCAGCCACAGGATTTTGTGTATGTTAAAATAAGACAAGTCTTCTATCCAGTGTTCTTAAGCAGCGTGTCTTTTCTTACCACAGGGAAGCATTCACACTAAATCCAAAATACTGAAGCATCCTCAAAGCTTCTCAGTTCCCCATCAGGATGTGAATGGTCCTGCACCTTCTAAAAGCAATTCAGATGAAAACAATGCAAAGACTCAGCTTGCAACAGAATTTCCAAGACCTTAATGATATCAGAACTGAGACACTGCTTGTCTTACCCCAGTGCATCTTGGTGCCTTACGGTTCATGTCAAACCGAACACTTGGAGGTGGCATTATCAATTTCAAAGCTGTTTTACCCCAACTATGAATGTGAGAGGAAGAGGTGTGGCCAAATTCTCAACTGGCTTTGAAATGTTTAAAACTCACATTTCTAACACAGAAATAAAAAACTATTGTGCTATGAAGAACTATGCAACTTGAAATATTACATAATACTTGTACAACATTCGTTTATAATATGGGGCTGGCTTTATGCAACTCTGAAGGTGTGATACCGCTACCTTTTATCAACTGCATATAATACACGCTAGTTTGCTTCTTGCGGTATTATAGTCTGCTGGAGTTATTTGAGACAAGCCCACAGAACAATAACAGGACCTGCTTACAGTATAGTTCAGCTGCCACTTACAAGATCAAAATAAACTTTCTACCGTTAGAACTTCAACAAAATACTTTGGGTACATTTACTTCCTACTTAAATGATTCCTCTTTGATTGAGGGAACATTTTGACATATTTGTATAAGTAGCAGTTTGTGGTTAGTCCTTTTCTATATTCCTTGGGTGGTTATTGTACCTAATTTCACAGGCTTTCACAACAACTCCTCACTCAAGCCTGCAGTGCCATCAATCTTACACTTGACACATTTCCATGGCGCCAGGGTAGAAAACTGGATAGCACATTCAGCATTTAATCCTGCAGTGGTTTTAATAAGGCATTTAAAAACATATCATCAATCTCTTTGCTCATTACTTGTAATGAGTACTGGGGGAAGACAAAGATTTGCTTTGAGGTTAGGTGCGAATTTCCTTCAATTTGGGAGTCATTATGATAGGAACTGTGAGTGCTGAATTAATCACCACAGACCTATGCTTTTTAAAAATCTATCATCAGTTAAATCGCTATTTTATAACCAATTGTAAAAAACTCTATCTAGGAACAGCTTGGGGATTATTTTTCTTCTAGTAGAGAAGGCATGCCACTGCCACAAGGGTTCTGCTAGACTTCAGAAGAGGAGCCCTCTGAAGAACAATTCCAAATATCAGTGTTGGAAGCACAAACCTTATTAGCTCTCTCCCCTACCCCTGCTCCGTGTACCTGTACATTTCATGTGGTACAGCTCAGCTTCCAGCTAGGAACAAAAATGAAGAGGCCAGGTTTTCAGAAGTACCCAACAGTTCTCATTAGGGTACTTACGCGGGGGCTGTTGTGTATTAAGCAATTCTGAAAGTCTAACACAATGACAGAGTTATTTATGTCTGACAAGGAGAACTTCAGTGACAGGAACCATTTCAAATGTGTTTTTTTAACAGAGAAAAGTTTTAGATACATGAACGCTACATAAATGACAGACAGCCCAGTGGTTTAAAAGGGTAAATTGTTTCAGTAATTCAATGGCAAATTTCTACTATTTCAGTAAGTCCTTGACTTCAAATCACACAATACTCTTCCAGCATTTCACCTGCCTTCAAACAAACCTGCTTTTATAATAGAACTTTATAACCACCTCCACAGTGAGGTAAGCCCAGAGCAGATCTATGGCACAGCTTGTATCTGAATTTATTTTGAATACCAGGATGTGGCAGAAACTCCTTTATGCCAGGTTGTGGGGGTGCTGAGCACAAGAATTCTATTCAGTGCAAACTGGAGTTCGGACTCAGCTTCCCACAGCATCCAGGTCTTTAAGCCACCCTTTTGCTTTGGCCTAGAAGTTGCAAGAATATTCAATGATCCATCTGTTTTATGCCAGCAATTGAAAAACCAATAAATAGTCGTCAGTACAAGGGAGCCCAAGGGTTTTCACAGCAGGACCAACTACCGCCACTAAGCCTGATCCCCCACCAGAAATGAACTCATCCTGATGTTCTCAATCTTTTAGAAAGAAGGAGACAGCTTATATTTAAGTCACCTAATAGGCAGCTGCCAGTTACATTCTGCCCAGGTAATCTAAATACAAAGTCTAAATCAGACTGTATTTTATAGAGCAAACCGAGTTAAAAATGCTTTCAAATAACGTATCAGTAATTGTCTTGTAGCCTAGGCAATCCAACGTTTGCTTATATTCTTCCCTGAATTTTTTGCAGAAAAAGGAAAAAGAGGACTGCTACAGAAACACAGCAACGTTCAAACCATTTAAAACAAAAGGTAGATTATTTAATGCATTAACGATGTTAATCTGAAGATAAATAAATCCACAACAGACTTTAAGTTTCTTTGAGATTTCCTTTTTCTTGGCCCCGCTTACCCCGGCTGTGCTGGGGGTCGGCAGGGGGCTCCGCGGCTGCTGGAGAGTTTCTGCGGGGCTTCGGGGGACTGTCTCTCGCCGCTTCCGAGCCTAACTGGGCTTTTTCCCGGTCGGCGGGCCCTTTTAAACTGTCAATTTACTTTTTCTTTGCAGAGAATATTTTTGGAATCATACAGTACTGAGAAGGTGGTGTTTTATTTTCTTAATGTCCAGGTCAAAATCTCAGTTCTCTCTGCTCTGTTCATAGGACTTTTAAATGCCCAATCCAGAAGGTGGTTCTCTTTAGCTTTTACTTTAAAAGCAGAGTAGTAGCATTGTTAATTTCAAGAATAACTGGATGGTTTGCTTCCTGAGTCATCTTCTTGAGAGCCCATACTCTTCTGCACAAACTGAGGGTTCACAGTGATCTCTTGATCCATGGCTTTCAGTCGTTCATCAAGTTCTATACATTTCAGCATCTCCTGATCAATGTTATGAAGCATAGCTGGAGTGTTATACTTTTCAGGATTATCATGGAAACAGACCATACCATCTTTCTGATTAATACTTGCAAAGATCTCACCATCTTCTATCATGTTATCTTTGATTTTGGACGCTAGTCCTAGCTCTATGTCAGCCTTAGCTTTCCTAAAAGCCCCCCTACAGGCCCGAGCAGTGGAGGTATACTCTTCTTTGGAGATAGCCCCCCCACCCCCTTCCACTGGGTGTACGCCGCCTTTTTGGCAACCAGGCATCTGAGAAGGTGGTGTTTTATTTTCTTAATGTCCAGGTCAAAATCTCAGTTCTCTCTGCTCTGTTCATAGGACTTTTAAATGCCCAATCCAGAAGGTGGTTCTCTTTAGCTTTTACTTTAAAAGCAGAGTAGTAGCATTGTTAATTTCAAGAATAACTGGATGGTTTGCTTCCTGAATCATCTTCTTGAGAGCCCATACTCTGTAAGGGAATAAGAGAAGTTATTTTTTTATTTTTAATTCCAAAGATTTGCTTTTGTCCCAACAAGAGCTCTAAAGCTGAAATCACACAAAATAAAAAGCACGCGTGGAAAGACCTGCACTCTCTCTTTTTACACAGTTGCATACTACCCACATTACACATTTGACTTGGTACTTACAACATAATACATTATAGCACATATATTCAACATAATTCATGCTTACAGCACCACATGCCTAAACACTCAGAGATCTAAAGGTAGTTACCTTCTGCACAAACTGAGGGTTCACAGTGATCTCTTGATCCATGGCTTTCAGTCGTTCATCAAGTTCTATACATTTCAGCATCTAAAAATCATGTTGAAAACAGCAAGTCAACTAGCTGTCCTGTTGGTGCATAACACACCTGCCTTAAGTAGCATCTACACTTTTAGCCTTTCCCCACAAAGGAATTTATGGTCCCAATTAATGGAAAAAGTAACACTGTGTTTATTCGGCTCACTGATTTTTGTTCGTTCCTTTTATTTTGTCCCATGTCTTTTCTCTAGCAATCACTTCAATGGCCATTGTCCTATGTTAGCCCTGGGAGAAGTGAACAGGTCAACCTGTAGTTCAATTGTTCTATGAAAAGGAAGGATTTTGTAGTCAGCCTACCAAATGAACATTTTTCTTTACAAATCTGGAGTCAACCCTGTAGTTTAAGATCAATATGGGGGTGCGGGGGGGGGGAGAATTGGACTGCTGACACACCTCTGGTTATACCTACTGTACAACAGGGGACTCAACACCAAAGATAAATATTTGTCATACAAATATATGTTTTAATTCCAAAGTAATTACTAAATTACCAGAGTAATTGTGGAAGCACATCAGCAAGTGCCTGACTTACACTAAATCAAGAACCAAATATACCCCAAGATGTCTGCTTATAACTTCACTACTAGATTTTGAAGACAATATATTCCGTGATAATTTAATAGCAAGAATGCATTAAACATTATTTACCTCCTGATCAATGTTATGAAGCATAGCTGGATTGTTATACTTTTCAGGATTATCGTGGAAACAGACCATACCATCTTTCTGATTAATACTTGCAAAGATTTCACCATCTTCTATCTGGAAGAGGAAAAACCATTTTATGTAAAAAAGGCAGAGTAAGTACTAATCACCAGTCTGGGTGGCTTGTGAAGATGGTTCAAATGCTGATTCTTCAAGCTCTGGTTCTTCTTTCCCCAACAGCCTTTTCCAAACAGAGACGTATTATAACATTCTGGTACAGGAAACACACTACTTACTCTGCTTAGATGAAAGCATTTTACAGACACTTTGGGAAGAAAGCAACCTGAGATTAGGGGACGCTTCCGGTAGTCAAACACTGACCAACTGCATTAAGTTTTTAAGATTCTAGTTAAAGATCTTGATCTGGTTTTCTTTTGTAATACAGAACACTTCCATTTCTCAATGACTCTTACCATGTGAAGGACGTATTTTTCTGCTTCCTGGGCCCCTGAGAGCTGCACTCGACTTGCCATATCTTGTAATGACAATGTTAAAAACGTCTGAAATTTAAAAAACGTATCAAAATGTTATACTGCAATACCACTGATTGCTTTTCGTGCAGGTTTTTTATTCAGCATTTTTTAACTAAAAGTTGGTGGGACTGTGGTAGGTAGAACAAAGTACCATGCAAAGACCTGCAAGTCATTTCTTCTTCCATGGCTAATGTTGTTTTATACAACTGAGAGCCTATATACAAGTGCGTACCAGCACTTCTGGGGTCCCTTCCTTTCTAAAGGAAGACTTAGCAATATCTAACTTCCCTTCTCCCTGTGAATGAGGAGTTCCTGCCTCTTTAATACAGCCATTTCAAGACAATTATTAATTGTTTTAATTTTGGGAGTTATCTTCCAAAACAAATGCTGTGACATGCCTGAAGATCAGAACATCTGAGTTCAGATTTTTGACCTAAGTATCTTGTCTCATCACCTCTAGGAATCCATTTGATCTTTTTAGTTGATTACATGTGTAACTGTTTCTTCCTCTCCAAAATTCCTTTAGCACTGGATAATCCCAGACTTAACTATGCGTCTGTCCTCTCCTGCTTTGCCTCCTGTATGTAGGGAAGCTGTGAAGTTCAGTTTTTGACAGCAGATGGGAAACCTGAAGGTACTGTGTAGTGACATCTATGGCCACAGACCTATGTTCTATGGTCAAAGTTCTTATCTAATATAAATTAGTCCAATTCATTGACTTTCACAGTAGTATGCTAGTTAACACCATAGTCTGGAAGGCAAGCATTTGTTTGTTTTTTATATGCTATGCAGTTTAGAAGCAGGCAACTACCTGTTTTTGTACCCAGACCCCTTTCGTATGCAGACTATCCCTATCCCCCCCACACCATACATTTAACTATTTTTTTTTTAAAGCACAAAGGTAACGTATTGCTCTAGTTCTTCATGAGTACATTTTTGCTTCAGCAGCATTGTGTAGATGATTTTTATAATACTGAACTTTTAAAAAAAACTAATCAGTGCACACACAAACAAACTACTATGACCTGGATCCATTTCACACAGATACAAGATGATATTTTTAGTTTAACTCTTCCAGCAGGGATAAACCCCACATTTCTAAAGACCAGCAGGAGGCCTGCACCTTACCTTAGTTAACCTCTGAATATTCTTTTTATAAAGAGATGACAAGCACTGCTTAACCAGCCCCATATTGTTATCTCTGGTGAATGTTTCACTATGCTTGTTCACAAGATTTCGGAGCTCCGAGGGTTTATTGGTTGAATAAACTTGTGCTAATTCATGGTAGGCATTGCTAAGGGGCTGCAATTAGAAAAGAACACAACGTTTAATGCACACGGATTTCGGTCTTCTGTCTTGTGACCATATTTAATAGCTTCCACACTGGAAATTATTTAAGCCACACTCGCTGTTCCCCAGGTAATTCACACACTAGACATTCACCATAGATTTAAATTTAAATCAAGACACAGTACAAGTGAAACTACTCTTTATGAAGGATCTCAGTTACATATTGATATTTATCAGGTTCATGTTTCAGATTTTTCTGTAAGCAATTTTCTGTAAGACCAGAACACATCACCACAGCATTTGAGGACTCTTCAATTTACAACTATGCAGAAGTGCCAGTAAAAATAATTCCTTATGAAGCTGGAGGCGCAGTATATATGCTATTTCACTTGAGCTTCTTCCAGGATACTAAAAAAAAGCACTAAGCGGTTTTCTAGTCAGAAGCATAGCCAGCTACTTGATGGCAAAAAGGTATGCTAACAAGCAGATTATTACATTGTACTTTCATAGTGCAACCCATGGGTTGTCTGTCAATAAAAGCCAAACAAAAACTTTAATTCAACAGCAGTTGAGGTTATATTTGTGTACAGGTAATACAAGGGGAAGTCTATCAAGCAGGTTTTTTGTGTTTTCACTGTGGGGGAAAGAGCCACCTGCAGGACAGTACTGTAAAAAGGGTGCACATTATCCAAGAGGCAGGTTATAAACACAAAAAGTACAGTAACTCAAATCCCATGCCAACAAGGACTGCCACAACATAGGGCCTACATACATACATACAAAAACCTCACCCAACGACACAGCAGACTTCCAAAGTCACCTTCCTCTGACACACATACAGCTCACTAACACCACAATAGCATGAATTCTTAAGTTGTGGATAGTTTATGTTGGAGCTGACACTGAACATCAAAAATCTGGCTCAGAATTTAAAAGCACTTAAATGGAGTTGAGCAGCTGCTACACAGTTTCCTCTGTTTTGGCAATATGCGTTAATTAGTTGTGGCACAGCATAGATTCTGAGTGGTAGTAGGAAAAATACCTAGCTCTTGTACTGCACTTTGAGATCTACAGTTTTCACACTTTTACATACGTGGTCAGGGTATTTTTACCCCAGTTTACAAAGAAAGGAATGGAGGGAAAAACAGCATGCCCAGCACCTCAGTGGCTGACTTGGGTTCATCCTAAGTGCAAGATATGTCCCCTAATTACTCTGAATTTCTTGAGAGAGATCATCAATAGTGCACTTTAAGAGTCAAGGAGAAGCTATGGAGTCACATGATCTAGCCAAAGTGAAAGTTTAGCAAATTTATACACTGCTGAAAGATCTCATGTTTACAGTTGTGAAATAAATATATATATATTTTTTTGTGCCAAAAAGCCCATTCGTTTGTTAAGATGTATGAGCTGTATTGCAACATGAGCAATGCACCTGCTAGTTTAGAATGTGCACAAGTGAGACAATATGAAGCCACTACCTGTCCAAGTCTTCTGTAACTTATAAAGAAGCCAGAATGCTTGTTCCTAACATTTCCAACAATCCAGAACAGTAACCAACTCCATTAGAGAACCAAGAAGAAAAACGCCACTGTGTCGGCAAGAACCATGCAGGAATTTATAACTCAAATTATTTGACTGAGTTCAAAACTTACCTTAATGAATCTACCCACTATCTGGGATGTGTACTTCGGTAGCTGTTGAACTTTGCCAAGTAGTATCAAAGAAACTAGAATATACTTTTTATATGATTCCAACATAATATGACTGACTGCCATGGCCGGAGTAGTTATTGCCTGAGCAAGAGAAAAGGGATGGGAGTAGAAAATGACTGTCAGTGGGAGTTAAAAATAAGTATACTACTGAATTAGTAAATTCCTAGATTAAAAAAAGCTCTATATGCAAAGAGAATAAGATGAAACATAAAATGAACCATTAATATCAAAAGGAAAAGTTAAGAAAAAGTTAATTTTTTGTGAATGTCACCCAGTACATCCGAGAAAGACACCTTCTACCAGTCGGCCAAATGTAAAACTACATAGTACTGTCTACAGTGGGTACATCTACACATGCGCATTAATGTACAATACCCTATTTTACTGAATATTAGAGCGTCACAGCGAAAACTGTGCTAATATGCTAAAGCGCAGTAAAATTAGGCTACTGTGTATTAAGTGTCACTAAAAAGTCTGAGCTTTTGTTACTGTGCATTAAGACAGCCTAATGCGCATTTAGTTAGTACCTCACGATAAAGGTACTAAATTTAATGCGTAGTAGCAAAAGCGTATTAACGAACATGTAGACACACACACACTGGGTACATCTACACGAGATGCTAAACAAGTAGACTAATTCTACTGCATATTAGTGTGGCAGGAAAAAACCATGCTAATGTGCAGTAGAATTAGTCTACTGACTAATTCTGCTGCACATTAGCATCACAAAAAAAGCATGTGCTGGCGCTACTGCACAGTAGCGCTGATTACAGTGCATTAAATTAGTACCTGTTATTACAAGTACTAAACTTTGTGCACCATAATTATGGTGGATTAACGAACACGTAGGTGCGCCCAGTGATACTTAAAATGATGCCAGAAGAATCAAAGCAAAGCTTCCTTGCTTAATACTGCCGAGCATTAAATACTGATCAAGAGTTGTCCTAGAAACCTCTGGGAGCCTTTAATGCAATTAATCAGAAGATGGGTTACTGGAAGTGGTTATACAGGTCCTGTGGAAGCTGGGATTACACCCCCCCCCCACATCCTGACAAGCCCAGCTGTGTGGTATGCAGCGCTGCAAACACATCTGCAGCACCACATACTACATAGCCAGATGTTCGCCGCACTGCAAGGGTGCGCTGCCTGTACATGCGCTGCTCCATTTTTTTTTCCTGTGGGTTTTTTTGGCCCCCAGAGGTAAAAAAAACCCCAGAGGAAAAAAAACAAAAAACGGAGCACCACATGCATGGGCAGCGTATGCTGCTGCTGAAAAAGAGAGCCAAGCCGTCTAGAGCCGCGCTGCGGCTGCCACCCAGGCTGTGCCCAGCAGGATCTCTGCTGCTGCAGCCCCGGGAGGCCCCCAGATAAAGCTGCCAGGGCCAGCACAGTGCTGGCCCCAGGCCCCGCTACTGCCTCCAGGGTAATTTGCCACGCGCCAAAGCACATGTGGCACGGACGCTCCCTGAGGACAAGTAGCTGTGGTGCAAGGTACACCAAATGTACCTTGGGAAACCAAATGTCCAAGCCCGTCTGGACGCGCGCACACACACATACACACTTCATAAAGTTGTTAGATCATTCACACGTGTAGAAACAACATTAGTTAAGTCTGCGAATGCCAAGATTGCTGTGCACAGTTAGTTTAAGTCCATTCTGTGCTGGCTAACCTTATTTTACTGAAAGGCCAGGGAAAAACTTGCTTTCTGCAAGTTTGTGCAAAAGTTTCACATCTTAAAAATAAGGGGAAAAGATGATTTTGAAAGTACAAGATATGGAGCATACCAAAGATCAGTAGTGGTATCAGAGGCTGTTGTACTAGTTGGACCACTACACTAATTTTTCTTGATATTAAAAATATATATATATATATATTGGACATAAAAATCACATGCTTATGAAACCCAGCTTAAGGAAAAAACAACTAGCATCCAGAATAACATTTAAAAGGCCAATGAGACCCATAAATAAACATTTGATATCCATGCTCAATCATATGAATGTATAGAGATAACACAAAATATTGCACATAAGTTCATATCTGACAACCAATCCAACTAAATCTTTCTAGATAACCATGTGATGCAAATACGCGAAGTTAATAAAAATAGCTATGTGAACAGCTATTGTCTTTAGTTTCAGGAGAAAGTTTAAAAGATGTTACGCATTACACATTATACCAACTTTATTGGCATGCAGTTCTACCAGTTTAAACAAACCACATTTTAAGTCTTGCCACAGACTTCTGGGTGAGAGAAATGTACCTGTTCATAGAAGTAGAGTGCTCTTTCAAAGTTCTTTAGCCCAGTGTATATCATCCCACCATAGTAGTAGTAACATAAAAAGTGCTTCGCATCATATGCCCCATTCTCTTTACAAATATCCATCATGTCCACATCTAAATACGGGAGGGCAGGTTTAAAGCATTTTGCTAACAAACAGAGCTACAAGAAAATAAACCAGGGTTACATGAATTAGCCACTTCTGTGCAAGTTTTAAAGAGGTCAAAACCAAGTTCAGTTCATTACCATTTATTTAAACTTAATGTGTTTATCTGCAAAATTATGAAGAACTTCCCTAAAACTATCCAGCAAACACTTCAGCTCCTGTAGTGTTTCACAGCGGCTCGTCATGAACACTGTCACATTACTCGACTCCAATCTATGAAGTTCCCTGAAATGCTAAGCCACACAAGCTAGCCTGTTGGCAGCACAAAATACTCTCTCTTACTTATGGAGCTATGTGCCCCAGGAGCTAGAAGCACTGCAGAAGTAGCAAATTCAGCCCACAGAAGCTGGAACAGATAGACCATCACTGCTGAGGAAACTATTCTGGAGGACAGAGATAGTAAGAGGCCCTGGGAGGAGCTACATATAGCTCTCCCTCAAGTAGAGAGAAAACCAGAATAATCCAGGACTCTCAGAAGTCATAAAAAGAACAGCAAAACAAAGGATCTAAGAGGATGAGCTTAAAATTCTATTAAACTCATTTCAAATATTAATTATTCTAACAGATCACAATGATTACTAGTGTTGTAAAACCCTACTCTATTACCCATTCTCAAAGTATAAAGTACTAATTCACTCAGTGCACAATGGGGCTGGGCCAGTTAAAAATGTTTACCCTTGGAATAAGTCTAATATTCCTTCTTACCTGGCAGAGATCTGCATGTATTGAGGTCAGCTGGTTTGTGTTCATCTGCATCTTGTCTATGGCTTGTCTGAGAATGCTAATTCCTCGCAGGGGCTGTCAGAAATTACATCTCTTTCAGATAATTTCTCATAGATGGCAGCACATTGGATCTTATGTTGGCACTTACAAATGAAAAATAACACTAATTGATAGGTTCCATTAAGTAACAATTAACCTGAGGTTCCCCTTCCTGCAGGATACTGCAGTCCCTTAAGATATCAAATAAATCTGGTCTTTTTCTTCAACTTGCTTCTCCTGATGGACTAACATTTCTCTGCTGCAAAAAGGCTGTTCTAGTGAGAAGGGGTTTGGGTTGTAGCCATGTTGGTCTAAGGACATAGGCAGACAAGGTTCCTTGGGTGAATTTGATATCTTTTATTAGACCAACCCAAATGGCTGGAGAATAGTTATTAAGCAAACTTTCGGGTTCAAAAACCCTTCGTCGGGCTAAGGAAGCCTCAGCAGTTGGTGTGTGCTCTTCCTGGATGGAACGAACGCATTGCACTGTCACACTATCAGATACTGACATCCTCTAGTAGTCTCTGAAAGACTTGACCCTGAAACCATCAAAAATCGGCACTGGTCACACTGAAATTAAAAACAAGATTCCCATTTGCCACATTTGGAGCATGTACTTTGGCAGCATTTTCAGAACATGGAAATTAGCACAAGTGCCTGGAAAGCTCCGATTCCTTAACATTAACAAATATTATTCTCAAAGATGTATTCTTTTAAACCAGTTTCTTGATTTATTTTTTTAAACCTATTCGGGAATCTTATAAAAGACTGCTGTGGTAATAACACCAAAGCCAACGACTCACTGCCTGATTCCATTTATTTTGGTACAATCTCTTATACATCTGTGATTGATGATCTCTAGACCAAAAAAAGAACACATACAACTGTTATGTGTATGTTTCATATGATGATACACCAGATCTCATAAGAACTATAAATATATATTTTTCTTTTAGGATGTCTCTGGAACAGCCTTTTTACAACCTTGGAAGATAATCTAAAACTAGACAAGTAAGAATCTGCAGGGAAATATTCTTAAAATGGAATTAACAAGTCAAATTCTTCATAAGAGAATCAGCGTCTCCTTGGAGCCCCCGGATGACTGCTAATTTATTATTACTAGATAATATTTGCTTACCTGTTTTCTTTCCACAAGGGCATTTGTTAACTGGTGGCAAAGGCCAGCAACTAGATATAACAACAAAAACAGTAAAAGAAAAAAAAAAATCATAAACATACACACATCAACTTTAGATGATATATAACTGCAAGACAAATTGAAGTTGAACTTACAAGTGTCTGTTGCATATCTAATGTGCTCCCCATTACAAGTGCTGATAAAAAGCTGAACCTGTGAGAATAACGTTTCGAAGTCAGGGATGCTGGGCATAGAAAACTTCACAAACCTGAAACCGGACAAAAAGTCATTTAAAATGTAAAATGAAACCAAAGGCCTCCCTCTGAAATGACTTCTTGATCTCTGCCTTAGCATGCAAACCTCTGTGCATCTGTGGAACTGCCTGCAGACCCAGGGCCAAAGCATGCATTACAGATTATTTTCTTAGCATATCGAGGTTTTATGAACAAAACACTAGGAAACCTGCAAGTGTGTAATTTTAGTTAACCAGTGTAAAAGCATCTTAAACATGAAAGACTATAACTAAAAACTAAACTATGGTGATACTTGAGAATTGGGTTAAAAATCCACACCCCCTATCCTGGGTTGCATAAAAGTTCTCTGTTTAGATCAAGTCACAGCAGGTACAGTATAATACCCTGATAACTGAATACCTTTTAAAGAAGATGGACCATAAAACTGCACCATCAAGTGGAAGGCTCATCACATTACAGAAAGAAGTAGCATAGACTTGTGGTTGGGGGGGGGGGAATGGGGAGAGAGGGTTGGCAGCACTCTCTTATGGACAGACTGCATTTTGGCTGTTTAAAATACACATTTCTTCTGAGAGCAGAGAAGAGTATGGAGAGTACTCTGCTGAGTACACTGGTCCTACAGAAGTTCTTCCAAATGACCTTGGAAACAACAAAACATGCTACTGATGCTAGGAATCTCTATCTCCTTCCCTATTTGCCTCCTCACTCTTACATATACCTGCGATTTTTTCTCCACATTTAAATTACTTGCATCTCTGCTCCTCACTCTCACCCATGCAGTGGCTGCAAGACAGGGGCAGCAGACTTGTATGGTGGGAGGAGAGGAAGATGGCTCACTCTGCTCATGCGGCAGCAGTGGGGGGTGAGGAGAGGATCTCATGGCAGCAGGGGACTACACAGAGCAGGGGCTCCAGGAAGCCAGTGAGGCCCATGGGGCATGCAGCCTACAACCCATGCAGTGCAGCACGCAGCCCCTGGTCGCTCTGAAGGTGGACAGCCCTGCTCTGGACCACTGCCCACAACAGTACTGCTTTGACTAGTTCTCAGGCAATCCTCAACCATACCTTCAGCACACCTCTCACTGTCTCTCGCATATCCCCGTTTCACGGCCTCCTCAAATGCCAACATTCCAGCAAGTCCTCACCCTGTAGATCCCCAAGCACAAACCCTCCTTTCCTTTGCTGTCCTTTTATTTTAAGATGCGCTTCAAAACTGATTGTATTGTTAAACCTCTCCACTGACTTGCTGCAGCTGCCAAGCAAACTGGTTACTCGCCTTCCTTGTCCCTTCCCAAAGCCCAGTCAGTGCTTGGTTCTCCCTGGAACAACCTTTTTCATATCTATTCCATTGACTCCACATCAGACATCTCTTATGGGCAGCTGGTTTCCCTCTTATTTAATTTACTAACAAACTGCTTTATCTTACACCCACAGGATGCCTTCACCATTGGTGATTTGACACAGGTGGTCTGTTTTGTTTTTGTTTTTTAATTATATAACATCTTTTTGGGATCCAGCTTGTGGAAGACAGTATACAAAGTGAAGTACCATGTACATACGAGCTGTACTATATTCTCTGTTTCAAAGGGAAACACCAAGGAACAGCAGTTAATTTATTTTAACAAATCAATTTCTAATGCATCTCAATTTATTATTTTAAAAGTGTATCAATAGTGCAAATTGTAGAGACCTCTGTTCAATAACTCATCAATGCTCCCAAAAATTTATTTAGCTGAACTGGTTATCTCAATCTGCAGAATGCCAGCCTATCCTTTCCCCTGCAGGAGACAAGAGCTGTCCAAACCTGCAAAAGCAGCCAATGCCACACTGTGAATAAAGGGACATCCTGCTTCACAGTGCGAGTCCAGCTTGTCAATAACTCATTTATCAAACCTTAAAACAAACATGACATTTTTGTTGAACCACTGGCAAAAGCATTAGTCTATCCAGACTGCCTAAATGTAACAAGAAACAGATGTTTGCTCAAAGCCAAGAAAAACTTAATTTGCGTTGTAAGTCATGGTATTTTAGCCATTTTGGAACTGAAATTAGAAAAAGCTGAAACACATGAACATCCTAATATTTTCACAAAAGATGCGCCACAGGAAAGAATTTAAGCAACGTTACAAGAACCGCACAATGAAAATGCAAGTGTCCAAAAACAACACCTTTGGTAGCATGTCAGCATGCACTGCCTGAAGTTCTCAATGTTAAAACTAAATTAAGCCTATAAAGAAAGAAAAGTATCACTTACAAGACAGCAAGAACCCCTAAAGAATGTTCCTGCACATCCAGGGCACCAAGCACTGTATCCAGGTGGGAGAGATTTTTTGCTAGCAGTTCCCCGCTTTTATTGATCAGTTCACAAAGCTGGGTCATTTGCCCTGAAACATGAAATATTGCAGTCAATTTTCAATTACAACACCAAGCAAAGCACACTGAAAGGTCATGCGTTCCCTTATTTAACATCTCCTTGCTTTGCCTTTAAGCAAAAAATAATAAATAAATAAAAGAGTCAACTAAGTTGTCTTCTAGCAGCAACCAAAGTTTGAGACCAATTGAGGGGACCCCACAATAGCTTATCATTCAACACCCCTC